ATAAAAAATGAATAATCATTATAGGCTGGGATACTGTGAGTGGTCCTTGCGTGCATTTATGTACAGTTTTGTGTGTTTATATAAATATAAATATATGTGTGTCTGTCCAGTGTGTATGTACGTACATGGAGATGTTCTATGTTGCCGCTTATGTTTCCTGTGTGTTTTGACTATCATATCCTATGAATTTTGAGTAAAGGGTATATGTTTCATACATGCATGCTTCTGTTTCACAGTGATACCAAGCTGCCCATGTCACGTGGCTGGGAGCCAACCAGCAGTGACTAGTCGCTGAGGCCCCAGGGCTTCTGTAGGAGATTAAGCCATAGCCATTACTTGCTGTCTTGTAAAGTTTGTGTTGTACTCTGTACATTCTGTTATGCACACAAGTATATATGATTCAGCAACAACTCTGTGCTAGAGGTTCTGTTGGGGACAAATCTGAAAGCAATCAATACTGCCCGAGATTGTTGAGTTGTGAATGCGATATTACAATTTTATGTCACAAGAGAAATTACATCTTTTTTTACTATGCATAAACATAGTAATGGAAAAAAAATTTGCAAATTCATTTGTTTCTGTTTCTATTGCTTTTATCATTTATGCGCTGTTATTCGAGTATGATGAAAAAACCCCCATCAATCTTGCACTTTATCTTCAAAGAGAATATGGCATGTGTGGGGAGCCTCAGATGGAAACAGCCATTCTCTGCACACAGTGAGGTTTAATGTGAGTAATGTAGCTGAGCCAAAAATAGTATGCACCTAGGAGTCATGGGAACTCTACCCAAGAAGTCAACATAATGTGATTCTAAATTCAGGTGAGGAAAAAAGTATCAGACCATTCCAGTTCATATTTCAAAAGTGAATGGATTCCAATGGGACTAATTATTCACTTATTCTGTGGTACTCTAGTAGGAATATCTACCAGCCAATGTTTTCATCCCTGTTCCCTGTTGCAGTTACTGCAAAGCCGAGCAAGTGTTTGTTACTCTTCTTGCTAATTGAAACAGCAAAAAAACCTCAGGCAGATGAGTAGATCTAAACACATAAGTACAAAGATCTTAATGCTAATTCCTGGAGAGACTAAACTATTGGGTGGTTCGACTCAATGACATTACCTAAACAGTTCAGTGGTTTGACCCTTTAAAATAAATATAGTAACTAGTTTCTATGATTAGAAAATGGTAAGATTTCTATAGGCTACATGTAGCATACTAAAGTTCAGAATTTGTGATATATGTACTGCTTAGGGTATGAGTAGAGGCTACGTTTTGTGTTTTGGAGGCATAACAGGGCCCAAGTATGTATGTATGTAAGTGGTAAGCCAATTACATGGGATAATAATTTAATTATATATAGATGCTATCATACAGACACTGACTCGTTTTGTATTGTGCTAGCATTGTCCACAGCACGTTATATTATTCTTAACGTTATAACATTCTAAGCAACTTCAATTCCTACTAATGAAAGAGCTTACAGGCTAATATCACTGCCAGACACATACACACATACACATACACACACACATTAGTTAGAAGGAGCCTTCATGCTTTGGCACTCAAATGAAAACTTTGCAAGCACAGGAGGAAATACAAATCCAGTCTGCTGGGAAAAGGAAAACTCTGCTGGAAAACTCTGCTTTTGTCCTTTTCCTTCCATTGGCTTTAATTTTTTATCCCAGGTAATAATTACTTCTGAGCTACCAAAAATCCATATACCCAGTGCACAGTGAACAGCATCTACAGAATGTGTGCAAGAAGAAAACAAGGCAATCTCTCTGCTTTACTAAAATTACACATTTTAGCATTGATAGCAAAAGAAACAACATTACGCTTTATTTTATCACTAAGAGGGGAGTTTACTAAGGCTGGGCACACACCGTACAACCATCGCAAGACTCTTGTCTTGCGATGGTTGTAAGGTAATTAAAAAAACGTACAATCTGCCTATCTTGGACGCTAAGGGTGATGACCGCAATGCCGCAATGCCATGCCGAACGCAAACGCAATGCCGAACGGGCAGTGTGCGCTTGCGCACACCGGCCCGTCTGGCTTTTATCTTATGAACATGCTACACACCCACCGAAAATCGTACGATTCTCGACCCTGACAGCATCTTATTAGCACAGTTTATGTTAAAGCTGTATTACTACATAGGGGGAATAATTCATGTTTTAGTCATCTGAAAATAAGAGAACACGCTGTAAATCCTGAAAATGGCTTCAATGAGCTTGGTCATATTTTGGAGATTCCTGTGCTATAAACATGTACTTTAAATAAAAGTTGTTCTACACTTTCCTAATAAATCATTGACACCAGAAATTACTTCTACCTCCCCGAGTTCTATACTCGTTATATGTAATATATATTAAGAAGCCCAGACTCTCAGTCTAATAATTTCCACAAAGGGCTAGTGTGTCTGAGAGTGTGTGTGACCTGCTGGAGTTTCTGTTCATCTGTACTCAGCCTTGTGTTAAAGCTGAACTCCAGACAGACACATCTTAATGCAAGTCTATATTTAAAGTATTAAAGTCTCTATTTTTTTTACTTATATCTACTGCTAGAAAG